GGAACACCTCTCCAAGGCGGCGATAGAAAAAGGAGCTTGAAGTGTACACAAAAAGAACTAGCTTGACCACCAAGAACATGCGAGATTCATAACCCTCCCACCGTTACAAAGAGAGCGCCCCTTGAAGAGGAGTTATTGAGCACCACCCTCAGCAGCACCATCTTGATCAGATGTCCAGAGAGTCAGGTTGTCTCTAAGGAGTTGCATGATAAGCGTAGAATCCTTATAGCTATCCTCGCTAACATTATCGAGCTCGGCAATCGCATCTTCGAATGCCTTGCGAGCCATCTTACAAGCCTCTTCAGGCTGGTTTAAGACTTCATAGTAAAATACAGAGTAGTTGAGAGCGAGACCCAAGCGAATAGGATGAGTAACCTGCAACTCAGACTGAGCGATATTAGTCGCATCCTTATAGGCCTGATCAGCATTATCAGCGGCCTTGTTTCTCTTCTCGCCAGTGCTGAATTCAGCGATGTAGCGATAGTAATCACCCTTCATCTTGTAGTAGAACACCTTGGACTCGCCGGTCTGGGAATGGGTAATAAGAGGCTTGTCAAGAAGATCAAGGATAGCATCGCAGATTGTCTGGAGTTCAGCCTCAACCTTCTCTCTGTATCCCTTAGCGATCTCAGCATTGGTCGTGTTACCCTTAGAAGCCTCCTTCTGCTCGACAGATGAGACGATCCTCCAGGAAGCACGTCGAGAACCAACAGCATTCTTGTATGCAACCGACAACAAGTTGCGCTCCTACATGAGAAGAAATGACCATCTCAGGAGCTCGAGCAATATCCTTTTCTCTATTCCCTTGTATCACCCTCCTACCTCAACACTGAGCTCCTGTTTTTCCTGAGCCACGGCCTTCATGTATGAGGCCATCTCATCGTAACGCTCAGCTTGCTCAGCCAGCTTGGAAAGATAAACATTCTTCTCACACTCGTTCGCCATTTTAGGTTTACTAAGACTGTAATCTAATAGCCTTGCACCAGAGCTGTTGTGAAGGAACTCTTAGGAGGCCAAGATTCCAAGATATCGTCTCCAACGCTAAACAACCCAACTCCGTTTGTGTTAGTTCGCACTGGTGAGAACTATTGGTCGATAACTCTTACCAGAGAAGGGAAATTTCAAGTACACTACCGCGGCGTTGTACAGCTAGCGCTTCCGATTGTGTAATGGACGCTGTCCATGCTGTCACAAACGTATGTCTCCGATGTATCAAGATGCCTGTCATTTTGTACATCATTTACCTAGGGTAGCTAATCGCTAGCAGGAATGAAGAGTTTGTTTTTGCTCAACTCTGTCGACTGTCTATGTTGGTCGAATGTCAATCATGGTGGAGCATTGCTGCCTAGTGAGTTGTTACACATCTCATGGTACTACTAACTCCCATTGCGTAAGTATCTCATAATAGGATTCCTATTGCAACTATAGGCCATGGCCAATTGCCAGTCGCCGCTTGATTGTCAAGGAGACAGAAGTGAACTGTTGACGTGTCAGGTCAGCTCGTATTGACTTGTATTGGGGCCGACACGGCCCGTATTGGGGCACATATGCCTCGTACTGGGGCGGATATGCCTCGTACTGGGGCGGATATGCCTCGTATTGGGACGGATATGCCTCGTATTGGAGCGGGTATGACTCGTATCGGGGCGCACATGCCTTCCATTGAGGCGGACATGCCTCGTATTGGGGCGGGTATGACTCGTATCGGGGCGCACATGCCTTGCATTGAGGCGGACATGCCTCGTATTGGGGCGGGTATGACTCGTATCGGGGCGCACATGCCTTGCATTGGGGCGGACATGCCTCGTATTGAGGCGGGTATGACTCGTACTGGGGCGCTTATGCCTTGCATTGAGGCTGATATGCCTCGTATTGTGGCGGATCCGTTCTGTTCTGTATTGGGGCAGATATACCTTGTATTGGGGCGGGTATACCTTGTATTGGGGCGGGTATACCTTGTATTGGCAGGTATGCCTTGTATTGGCAGGTATGCCTTGTATTGGGGCGGGTATACCTTGTATTGGGGCGGGTATACCTTGTATTGGGGCAGGTATGCCTTGTATTGGGGCAAGTATGCCTTGTATTGGGGCAGGTATGCCTTGTATTGGGGCAAGTATGCCTTGTATTGGGGCTGGTTTGTCTTGCATTGGGGCGGGTTTGCCTTGTATTGGGGCAGATATACCTTGTATTGGCAGGTATACCTTGTATTGGGGCGGGTATACCTTGTATTGGGGCAGGTATGCCTTGTATTGGGGCGGGTATACCTTGTATTGGGGCAGGTATGCCTTGTATTGGGGCAAGTATGCCTTGTATTGGGGCAGGTATGCCTTGTATTGGGGCTGGTTTGTCTTGCATTGGGGCGGGTATGCCTTGTATTGGGGCAGGTATGCCTTGTATTGGGGCGGGTATACCTTGTATTGGGGCGGTTATACCTTGTATTGGGGCAGGTATGCCTTGTATTGGGGCAGGTATGCCTTGTATTGGGGCAA